AGTTAAAGAACACAAAACAAATGACTGACAACAATTGACAAAATAATCCATAGGAACAAAACAAAACAAAAACAACTGACAAGTACGCTACACTACAATCAAATCAAATCAGTAAGAAAAATTTAAATGGACTCCATGGCTCCATGATATACATGAAGTGATGTCAAGTGTTTCAAAATGAGTGAGCACATTCTGCTCTAGAGGTAGCACCCACCATATATATTTGTATACAATAATCAAATGGTTTCTGTAAATAAATATATATAAATATATAATAACACATTGGCTCTCATTGCTCTTTTTTTAACTATTTGAGTCATAGAATTTGTTGTAAATCAGTTGGGCATCATAACAGCTTAGGAGCATGTCACACAAAGGTGAAATTATAAGTCCTCATTTTCAGACATTGTTTAAACAGTGTCTAACAGGGGACCTCATTGTCGAAATAACTCTGCTATCTTTGTAGAGTCTTACTCAAAATAAAATTGATAGTGTTCTATATAGTGATATATTAGCTATTTACCATGGTTATTGTTACCTCAATGTTCTCGCTACAGTATATCACAACCACAATAGTTTATATGGTTGCCGCTATGACAATTGCAAATGTTAACAACTTGTCAAAAAACATACCAAATATCAAACTAATTGAGCTGGTAGTTTTCAAAGAGAAGTAAAAAAACAACAAAGAACAAAACATAGAAAATTGAAAATGTCTTTCTAGAAATAAACAAATATTACAGAGATCTACTCATGATACCCACATATGAAGTATCAAATCATTGAACTTGTAGTTTATGAAAAAAAATTAAAGATAGTACATTTTACCAAAAATATTTGCTGAAAATAGATAATTGAAGACATTGTCATAAAATGACAGAGGTCCACTCAAAAGTACCTACATACCAAGTACCCCCGGTATCATAGCAATTGAGCTTTTTTCAAAAAAAATTTTAAAAATAGCTTTAACAAAAATATTTGTCAAAAATAGAGAATTGCAGATATCGTCACAAGGTCCACCAAAGTAACTACACACCATTATTTTTACAGCTAATGTGGTGCAGGGGTTGTTAAATGCAGAAATGTTTATGAAACAAACTTACCCATTAGCTTCCAAGACAGATCCAATATGCTCACATAAAAACACTGATCTTAATTGAGAAAGGGTCATATCATCACAATTCAAATCATGGAGAAAAGCACTGTTATTGAGAATACACATTTTTCTATCAGATTTGTCAGTACCGGTAGTTCGCCTGCCATAAAGAACCTCCTGTGTGACAACTTCACTTAATACATTCTGGAATGCACATGGTCTATTAAGCTTAATAAACACAGATTTATCTTTCTCACAAATGTTATAGTTCTGTATTTTCAATGTCCAGGCTTCACTTGACGTTTTTAGTTCATTCAGCAATTCACTGATAGTCTAGAAACAAAAAATATAGAAAGAAATTAGCGAAAAACATTTTTCTGATAGATTA